AACAATAACAACTACAAAGCAGCACAACATTACCAGATCGCTTTTGGGAGGTCAGAGGTCGCATACAATGATAATATATACAGCTTCTTGACACTTGATACTTCTCGCTTGTACCAGTACCTTACCACCAGTGCTTTAAGGGTCTGTATGTATCTGTCTTGTGAGTTATCATGATGTTGTGATGTTGTGAGTCGTTTATGATGTTCTTGACTAGTGTTGGTGTGGCTGACCTGGCGTGAGATTTTATACATCTATAAACGAATGTTCTTTCCATTGCGGTTGTCTTCGGTTTAGGCAGTCTTAAGCCAACTCCTGTCGCAAGTCGGGTGCTATGGTCATGAGAACTGTCTATTCGTTGTAACCTGTCGTAGATCACTTCTGGTTTTTCAGGTACCAAAATTCACGAAATGGCGCATACTGTATTTTTAGCAATTACATCAATTATGGCAAATAATTTATGTCTGACGTAAGGTATTTGCATTTTATGTTCAAAACAATTGTCATTTAGGCTGATCTAGGAGAAATGAAGCGAGTCACGGCAACCATCACTCAGGGTCGCTACCATAACGCCGACGAATGGGTGACTTCCTACAAACTACAGTACGGAGCAACTGGAACCAGTTGGACAACATATACAAGCAACAATAGCTCCGAAAAGGTATCATGAAGAGTTTGTCTCTTGTTAATCCGTGAAGGAGGTCAGGACCTCCGGGCGGAGTGTTGTGAAGAGCTGTTTTTTCGTGTTCGCAGTCAAAACACTTCGTTCTCTTTGTGTAATCGGCATGCAATTTTATACGCCGTCTTCGGGCATGCCCGTGTTGATGCACGAATGTGTATTTTTGCCGATGCTGCTTTCGCGGTCAATGTAATATTGCAGATACACCCCTACAATTATGAGGCAAATTGAAATGGTCCAGAAAAACCCGTTGTTTGGAATAGCCGTTGGGGGTGGAACTTCAGGCAGATATGGTGAGAGGCCGATAAGTGGTACCACGGCAGTAACACTCGCGGTGCTGGCCGCAACTGTTGCTGGAATTTGCCAATCGCGCTTAATAAGTAACAGGCACGGTAAGACGGTGGGGCTGTCTTTGTTACTAGTGACACGACCATGATAGTCCGATCTTTATGTGAATGCAATGATTGTGTGTGTGTAATGAATTTCGAACTTGAACTTCGAACTTGAAGCACCGTATCTTTACACGCCCTGAGAGCAGTAATGGATTTAGATCTTTTTATGTTTTATGGTTGTGACGCTCCCTCATTGTATTGCCCCCGTTGCCTTATGTCTGCACAGTAGGTCTGGCGTTGACGCTTGGGATTATTTTTGTTGCAAAATATAAAACTTCACGGAGGATTGTCACCTATGGCTTCTTGTTTCTTTGATTTCTAACGCAAGAAATACGTTTCACTAACGGTTAATAAAAAGGCTACAGTACTATTTCACGGTACACCGAATCAGCAGGCAGCGATAACGAAAACGAAAATATAGAGATTGTATAATTATGTTTCTGTGATTTCTAAAACAAGGAATACATTAAAGTAAAATGAATTTCATAAAATGTCTACAGTATTATTCGCGAAAAAAGAGGTTATATTATGTTACTTTCTGAAACAATATATCCGTTTAATTAGGTAAAGTAAGTTAATAGAGTAGGCAATTGCACATTTTGACAGTACGGCGATTCAGTGACCAATCCCTTTTCCTAACAGGTATTCCCAGGCAATGTGGACAGGAACACCCCTGTGACCAACCTCTTGGACTACCCCATTGATACCCGCTATGTCCGTTTCCTGCCTCAGACGCGGCATGGATGGATCAGCATGAGAGTGGAGATTTTAGGCTGCACTTTGACAAGTATAATTTTCCAATAATTTTAAGAGTTACACAAAAATCCCCAAGTGTTTGTTTAACTTAAATTATAGAGTACTTGTTTTAGAGTTATAAAAATCCCTGAGTTGAAAAAATGCCTAATTGCTTACTAGAGCCACACAAGCCCCGTGTTATTGCTAGAGTTACAAAAATCCCCCAGTGATTGTTGGAGTTACAAAAATCATCCCCGAGTGCTTGTTTTAGAGTTACGATTTTAGTATTAGGCCAATCAGCGAAACCTCTTTTTTGATCTACAATAATAGTAAGTAGTGCCGTTCCCCATTTAATCATTGTTATATTGTTAAGATTGAGACGCATGGTGTCACACAATTTCAAGTAGTTATGGTGGTAAATGGCAACTTTCATTGATTGTTTTCCAATTCCTATCTACACCTGTGTGATAAGATATGATATATATCATACCTTGTTGTTTTGTTTGCATGTCAATCAGGTAACCCACAGAAGATAATTTTCCCCACCCCTCGCACAACCAGCAACTATGCTCGACTGATGACGTCATTGACTCAGGACTTGGATGGCTTTACTATGTGCATGCACATGCGCATTGGCATTAACTTCAGCACTTTCATCAGTTATATCAGCTATGCTGTGGCACAGACGGACAATGAACTACTCATTTACTCCCGTGACAACTTTTTTGTAAGTATTCGATTCCATGTTGCAATTGATAGTTATGTTTTTCGATTTGTCTTATCTATCATTGATATGCATCCCTACTTTTAAGTTGCACGGTTGGCTCGAGTAGAGGTTCGATAACATTCCTGTTTGTTTCCAATATTAATGTGGTACATGGAAAGTTATAAATGAATTATTGACAAAGGTACAATGCTTGTACAGTTAGTTTATCACTTTTTTAGAGACATGTTTCAACACATGTCAGCTACTGTACTCCGATGATTAGTCAGTATTGGAGATCTTGTGTAAAAGGTTGTGCAGATTGTACCCCACTTAAGCTAAGGTCCCAATTACGCCGGTGCCCGTCGGGGATGTAGCCCCGGCTGGCCCCGGCCGGGTTCAGGAGTCGGGCGGGCATCGGCTGTCGTGGTCACAATTAAAAGTTGCCTTTACGCTACCCTGCAGGTGTCCCGGGGTTGCCCGGCGGGCACTCGGTGGCCTGCTGATACAAATTTTTCCATCGTCATTGATTGGACTCCGGTAGATACCCGGCAGATGCTCTGACGATGTCTTGTAGTGACCCCTGTGGGGTCCGACAGGGTAGCGCGTTATTTTCAAATCCCGGTGGGGCAGTTGTAGGATCCCTGCCGCTGGCCCGACGAATGACGGTCAGACACCCTAAAGGCTCCTTGAGGACACTCGTCATATTTGGGGTATCATATAAAGAAGCGCTGATTGGTTTACATTCAGTTGTTCGTTTCTCTGAGAGGACTGCGCGTGCCGTACACAATCAGAAGTCTGAACATGCAGCGACTACCTGCAGACAACTTGGGTCTAGTCCGTCTGAGGCTAGCGACAGCTCGTCACCGTCGCAACCTTGTTCTTGCCACATTGTTAGCAGAACAGGAGAGGTACGCTGAATTGCAGCGCCGCAGAAGAAGATGGTGGATTCGGCCCTGGTTGTTAGAACGACCTAGATATGGGCAGTACGAGAAGCTAATGGGCGAGCTCATGCGTGGTCATCGTGTTGACTTCAAGTCGTTCCTAAGAATCGAACCGGAGATGTTTGACGAGATTCTCCAGCGTGTAGGCCCCTCTATTGAGAAGAGTACAAAGTAAGTTGTTAGTGAAATATTCTCTGTCAGTTTTCAGTTCATAAAGAGCAAACAGCAATTTACCATATCAATCCCAATGTCCAGCTGATATATGTGTGTAATTTTCTGTTACAGTGCCAGACAGCCATTGCCGATAGGTCTGAAGCTCGCCATCACTCTGCGCTTCTTAGCGACCGGAAACTCCTATCGCTCCCTGGCCTACTCCTTCAGGGTGGCGCACAACACTATTCCAAATTTGTTCCCCAAGTCTGCCGGGCAATTACAAAGGAGTACGCCCAAGAAGCATTTGACACCCCTTCAACTCCCGACCAGTGGCGCCAGGTGGCACAGGGGTTTCAAACAAGGTGGAATTTCCCCCATGTTTGCGGCGCTATCGATGGCAAACATGTTGCCATCAAGCGACCTAGGAAGTCTGGTAGTCTCTATTATAACTACAAGGGCTACTTCTCCTTGGTTATCCTCGCACTTGTAGATTCTAACTACAAAATCCTTTGGGCAAGTGTGGGTTCTCCTGGATCAGATTCTGATTGTGGCGTCTTCAACCGGTCCAATCTTCAACTGTCATTGTCAGAAGGTACCATGGGATTCCCTGACCCCGAGCCCATCCCAAATGATGATATAGACACGGGGTATTTCCTGATCGGCGACGACGCCTTTCCCCTGCGTACCTTCCTCTTGAAGCCATACTCCCAGCGATATTTGGACGTTGAGGCGCGTGTCTTCAACTATCGTCTCTCCCGGGCCAGACGAGTGGTGGAAAATGCATTTGGAGTGTTGGCCCTTCGCTACAGATGCCTTCTTACCACCCTGGCTGTAGGCACAGAAGCTGCGACGGACATCATCGAGGCCTGTCTCACACTACACAATGTCTTGAGGATAAGGTATCCTTTCAGGCATAACGTAAACATGGACGATGAAGACGATGACTATGAGCTGGTGCCTGGAGCCTGGAGGACCGCTGCAGTGATGCGGGAGGTGGCCCACGAGGGTCGGGGACCACGCGCCACAGCAGAGGGAAAGAGGCTAAGGGCTTACTTCAAAGAATACTTCAATAGTGATGCAGGAAGTGTGCCATGGCAGCTTCGTGCTGTTAATTTTGAACAATAAATGCTGTATTGTTTGTATGCTTACAATGATATGAGGTAATATTTGCTTGGAGACTTAATATGATAATATGATATGATATGAAGTAAGATATGAGGTATACTGTAAGCACCTTTTTGGTACTATTTGAATTCTTCATAAGCAGATAAGGATGTGTTTTTTGTTTCTTCTTGTAATTTCTTTTCATCTATTTTACAATGAACTTTGATATGTTTGAAAGAAGTTGACAAAGCAAGCAATATACAACACATGTGTTTATTTGGCTTTGAAATAAACTAATCTTCAGCGGTCTCTTCCTTCTCGCTCTCCACTTGGCCGGCATTCTGTAGAGTGACCATTGCTGCCCTCAGTGGTGACATGGTAGCGGAAGTGGAAGCGGTAGGGGTAGCGGTAGGCAGGGTAGCGGATACAAGTGGCTGAGCCTGTAGCAGAAAGAAAAGAAGCAAAAAAAGCATTAAGTGTTTGTCGTAATAGTCATGCTATTTTATCATTCACATAAGCATTAGCCAAGGTGGGGGGGGGAGTGGGGATTACATACCGATCTAAAAGTAGCCAGTTGCTGCTGTCCTGGAGCACCGAAGCCATAGGGTACCGCCATGTACTGTACAGGTTGTTGTTGCTGAATCACCTGGTGCTGCTGAAGTGGCTGAAGTTGGGTTATAGCAGGCTGAGTCGGCTGCTGCTGATCCTCCCCTGTAGTGTACCGCATGGCCACAGCGAAAGTATCCTTCTGGTACGCCCTCCACTTCTCTGAGGGGATGTCCTTCTGTAGACTGGCAAGCCACTGTGCCCAGCAGACCCGTTCGTCTTCGCCACTAGTACCTGCAGCCTAGAACATAAAATATCCGCAGACTGTTAGTTTAGCGTTGTCAGGCATTGATATATCCCAATGTCAAGTGAGAAATTAATTATAAAAATAAGCAAACTCATTGTTGTACCTGTGCTAAAGTGACTTGTGATTGCCGGAGCTCCTTTTGGGAGTCAGTCAGTAGTTCGACGAGGACCTCGGTCATGTCCTTCTTTTTCTTCTTCTTTGGTGGTGTGACACAGCCGCCATGGACGTTGCGGTCAGAAGTTGTCCCCGTAGTATGATCCGGGATGAATTCAACGTCGTCGTCGTCGCCTGAACTCACAACTACCTGCGGAACCTTAAGCATATGGAATTGCAAGAGTTTTTAATGGGTCGGATGTACCATCAACTTCATAGTAACAAAGGGATGGATAAGAAATGTACAGAACATAAACGAGTCCCCCCGGATGCATACCGATCCAAGTTCCCTTGAAGCCACTTTTCCTCTGTAGTGTGCATCCAGGAATGCGTATCGTCGCAGTTTGAAGTCCTGCAGAGGGGTGAGTTTTGTCTGGCCTTGGCCAGACTTCCCAGCCACCTTTCTCTTCAGTTTGAAATAATCGGTTCGCATCGTTTGAAACCTTGTCATGACCTGTTTAGCTGTTAGTATATACAAGGGTGTCTTTTAATCAATCAATCAATCAATCAATCAATCAATCGATTAACGAAAATGATTTACCTTACCACAGGTCTTACAGCACTACATGCATGCTGAATTCAGACTAGTGTTACATCGGCATCATACTATCTAACATATCTTACGAAAGTATTTTAACTATAATTTGACTACATGGTTAACTAGTATTAACTTGGAATAGAATCCCCGTGTGTGAAATATTTTCATTGGTATTCCAAAGAATTACAATATTTGAAGGCACGGAGTCATAAATTTGCATATCAAGTTAAGTTTAGTAAGTCATAAACTTACGCGTCAGTCCAATTGTAGAAGAAACATCCTTCAACCAACTCTCCTTCTTCACCTTATTTTTGTAGTCCGCGGTGGTAATGTCATAAAACGCCGGGTGGCTTTCTATGAAGGAGGCGATCTGCTCGTCTTGTTCTTCTGTGACACCCTTCTGTGTAGTCTGCTGCTCAACTAGTGTCGTCTTCATCTCCTCTGTCTCACTCTTGTCACTTGCAGACGATTCCTCCGCCCTCTGCCTTGTCCTTTTGGACATCGGCATTGGCTGTTTTCCCTTATCTTTCCCCGCGGTCCTCTTTGCCTTTGGCATGGTGACGAACTGACACGCATCCAACAAAGTGAACACCTTTGCTGTCATCACATGATCTGTGACGTCATACATTTCACCTGGTCTTAAGAAGTACACGTCACCTTTAATCTGTTCATCTGGTCTGTGACGTAAGAAATGTGTCCCGGTGGACTGCAGGCAACCGGAGGGGTACCTGTCGGTGTTCTCACGATGAGATCACGGTGTCTTTTTGTCAGCGGGGCCCGGGTAGAATTTAACTCAGAATTAAATTCTTCTCGGGGCCCCGACGGGCCAAAAAATAGCCCGGTAGCCGCAGGGTGCCCCGCGGGGCCACGTCGGGGTCCCGCCCGAAAGTGGTAAAAAACAGCCCGGGAACTACCCGCCAGGGCCCCTTTTCCCAATTGGGACCTTAGCTTTATCTGGGTTAATCCGAAAGTGCTTAACTTACTAGATATGTCGCTGGAAAAAAATGACACTTTTTTTTTCCTTTCCACGATCGTGTCGTGGTCTTTATTTCAAAATATTTACACAAAATTACATACGGTACATAATGTTTACGGAATATACAGTATTTCAATCACAATCTATAAGACACAAAAGATCTCCCCATTTTCTTTTTGCGTTCATGTATGAAATATTTTGTTCTATTTTTAGGATGGAAGTAAGGTCAGTTAGAAAAACAGAGAATGGATCTATTTCATTATAACAATCTTTGTCCTTATAAGTGCACCAGCTTCTAAATATAGCGTACATTGCTATAGCTATTGTATGATTAGTTGCACTTGATTTTTGTTGGTTCTGTGGACATCCAGATAACAGTGTTTCAACATTGATATCCTTAATAGTAGTTATAATGTTCAGTAGTTTCTCCATTTTTTTTCCAAAAATTGTTAAGTCTTTTGCATTGAAAGAACATATGTTTTTCGTCTTCTATTTCTGAACATATTTTACATAGAGGTGACCTTATTAATTTCCACTTAAAGAGATTTTGATTATTAGGAAGGATTTTATGCAGAAATTTGTACATAAAGTTTGACAATTTTCTTTCCATGGTTACACCAAGAGTTCTTTCCTTCCATGGAACCTTCAGAGAGCTGGGATCCCTCTGTAACTGTTTGGCCCAACTTCTTATAGCTTGTGGATGTTCTATCTTGTCTATACATAACAATTTATACAAATATTTACAGGTATACTGAGAAAAATTAGTGATTTCTACCTTTTGTACTAATGGGTCTGGGTCATGCATATGTAACAACGTTAACCACTTCTTGGGGATTGCTTTTTTTACGATATATAATTCTTGTAGCCATTTTCTCTTATCATTAAGTTTCTCGAAAATAAGTGTTTCATTTATGCATTGATTATCATCTAGCAAGTCATCTATATGTACTATTCCTGAATCTATCCAGTGTTTGTAGAATAGTGAGGTGGGTTTCTTCTTCCCCTGCTTACATACAACTAGAGTTCCAAGACTTCATGCCTTCGACAAATGATGTTAACCTTTACGACTGACAAATTATGAATGTTTCACATTGATTATGGAAATAATATCCTCACTTGCAATTATATCCTTTGATCATATTTTCCATCCAATGAGTCTTATCTTAAACAAAGAGGGCTATTCTAGCATTTCCTCATCACCATTTTAATTGTTTTATCACAGAACCCAGCAAATATATAGACTTCTGTCATTAATTATGTAAATTAGATCGAGATTTGCATAATCGTCATCTAATTAGGTCAAGCATCACTTAAGCTACCGAGATACCAAAAATAACAACAATCCGTCAACCGGTTCTTGAGCTATCCTACTTCAAACATTTTCAAACAAATGCCTCTGCATTTCCCAAACAAGCTGCTACGGGGTGCAAACTTACGGCACTTTTTTGTGAGCACAAGAGCTACCTACCATCTAAAAATCATGACCCTAGCACGTCCAGATCACGAGATGTAAAAACCAGAAGTTTCGCTGCAGTACGTTCTAATTCAATGACGTGGGGACCCCCCACGAACCCCATATCCGAACTTGAACTTGGTATTTTCAATGGTAACTTGCCAACTAAAAAACATGAACATCCATTTAAAGATTCTCGAGTTATCTTGTCCACAAGAGAAAACACAAAAAAGAGTTGCCATACGTAAGACGACCGTGCGAGTAGGAGAGTCTTCCATAGATGGTAGAAACTCCAACAAAATGCAATTATGGCATGCGCTTTATACTAGATAATTAAAAACAATATACATGTAGTTGACCAGTTCCAGTTTTGAAATCTCATGACATGCTAGGGTGACAAAATTTGGAAAATAAGCTTATGTAGCTCTTTTTGCTTGGGAAAAGTGACGTGAGTAGTTTAAAAATATGCGCCAAAACGCTGTTTTCCACGGCTGCATATATTAGCCAGATTTTGTAAACATACATACAATTTTAAATAACCTTAAGTGAAAATATATATTTCTTTGCAAATTAATTGTACCTTTTGAGCTCGATCCAACAACGTCATTGAATCCTGCATATGAGTTACAACTTACTAGTACTCAAAAAAAGTTGTATACCATGTATTCTTATGCGGTTTTCCCACACTTGACCTTGAATCTATTTTGATATACAGTACTAACTTGTCAGGGCTGTTTTACAGAGTAAGCTGATACTCTTGTTATTATAGGACACTTCATTGGTACTGTTCAAACAAACATCTCTACACCCTGCCAGTGTTATTGTTATCTTACCCTAGTTCACCCTATCTGTTATCTTAACCTACATGTACTACATAGAACAACACGCCTGCATGTGAAAACCCACAACCTACTAGACACTCCAAACACCTATGTTGCTTCAACAAACAACTCTTTACCCTGGAAATGGTGTGGAAGTGTCCTACAATACCTTCCTATGTGGTTTTGTGCCCCAAAAAAAGCAAGACAACAAATAATTCTTTAAGTGGCTCAAATATCGCACATCTTTTTAAACTACACACGTACATGTAGCTAGTAATGTTAAACTTACCATATACATGTACTAGTAAATACATGCACTTTAAAGGCTGTGTCATCGTCCACTAATTACATGTAGTTTAACAGGCAATTGTTATGCAGTTTCCAACACTTGACCTTGAACCTATTTTTGATTTACAGTACTACCTTGTCAGGACTGTTTCCTGGATAGCTTCGATTGTTAAAGGAACACTTGACGGTTACTGTTATCTCAACAAACAACTCTACACCCTTGCTGTGCTATTGTTAGCGTAACTTACTTAACACAACTATGCTGTTGTTAGTTTAACCAACTACATAAAAGGACAAAGACTTCGCCTACACTTTAAAGATGTGCAAACAAAATGTCCTTAGGCTATTACACGTACTCACAACCTACTACAGACTCCAAGTTTTAAACCCTCAATCTAAACCCCTTACCTATTCACAAAAATTTTTAAAAAATTCCTATTCTACAGCTTCAACTACTGAAAAACTAACAATCACCAAAAGCCCACTACGTAACTGCAGTATGAAAGACATTTAGATTTCTCTTATCAAGTAATCAAATTGGGTCACAATTTACATAATTAATATCTGTTAATGTTCCTCTTCCTCTTGATTAAATATGCCACCATTTTAATTGTTCTATTATGGAACGCAGCAGATTTATAGACTTTTGTCATTAATTATGTAAATTAGATCGTGATTTGCATAATTGTCATCTAATTAGGTCAAGCATCACTTAAGCTACCGAGATACCAAAAATAACAACAATCCGTCAACCGGTTCTTGAGCTATCCTACTTCAAACATTTTCAAACAAATGCCTCTGTATTTCCCAAACAAGCTGCTACGGGCCCAAACTTACGGCACTTCTTTCTGAGCACGAGAGCTACCTACCATCTAAAAATCATGACCCTAGCACGTCCATATCACGAGATTTAAAAACCAGAAGTTTCGCTGCAGTACTTTCTAATTCAATGACGTGGGGACCCCCCACGAAGCCCATATCCGAACTTGACCTTGGTATTGTCAATGGTAACTTGCCAACTAAAAAACATGAACATCCATTTAAAGATTCTCGAGTTATCTTGATGACAAGAAAAAACACAAAAAACAAAGGTCAACTGCAGTGACATAGAAACCCCCACGGGGCCCATCTTTGAACTTGACCTCGGCATTTTCAACGGTAACTTGCCCACTAAAAATAATGAACATCTATTTAAGGATTCTCGAGATATCTTGATGACAAGGAAAAAACACCAAAAACCAAGGTCAACTACAGTGTCTTAGGAACCCCCCACGAAGCCCATTTTTAGCCTTGACAATGGCCACCCCTAAATCAACCTGCCTGCCAAAACTCGTGAACCTCGGACCTTGCCTTCAAGAGTTATCGTGCCTAATCTGCCAAACAGTGCAAAACCGATTTCATAACCTTCTCCGAAGGCATAGCCTTCAGTCGAAGGCAATAAACCTCGATCCCCAGATTATGTGTCCTTTTATCTCGCCCGGGGTCTCGGGTTCTACCATGTTTCTGCCTAACGCTTTGTGCCAGCTTAGGATAACATTTGTTTTTTTTTATTTTGCAAATTCAACAAGGACAATACAAGACAAGGTGGTGAGGTACTCTAGCTATAGCTAATTTTAGCCTCACCACCAAACATAGAATACAATTACAATACATAACAAAAAACAGAGAACAGCAAGTGGGTGGGATGGGTCGTTAAATAGTACAAATAAATGTTTAGTAGGCTATATGATAAATCAATCGAGTACAAACCGTTTGGTGTCAACAATATAAGTTTGAGTGGTTAGCAAGATATTACAGTTTGTATCATAGTATAAATCAGGTAATCCTCTAAGTAAAATATCACATAACAATTGTTCAGACATATTGAAAACATGTTTGTAGTACAAAGGTATGCGTTCCATGTTAGGACTGTTAAGCCTGTCTTTAAAATGCATATTTAGAATAAGGAAGTTTGTCCCAAAACTATTAAGAAATAAACGTGGAAGTATCTTCCAATCACCCACAGAACTGTCCATTAT